GATGAATAGGAATTTTATGCAGATCCCGGAGTGTGTTAAGTCGAGGCAACGAACAACGAAGCAATACAACACTGCGACAATGAGGGCATCAGGGTATCGAAACGTAGGGTAAACTAGCAAAACGGAGGAGATAATAGATACTGAATCGAACGAGAGGCGGGTTTTCATCACCACTGGAAAGCGTGCCGAGAAAAATATCGGAGATGCGAAAACATACCAGGGTGGAAGGAAGGGGTTTATGCGGATAGAGGGCAGACGGACTGCGGGTGAGGTAGAACAGTGAGAATTGGTAAGATGTGAAGCCGGCACACAGGGTGACTGGAAACAGCAGGTCAGCGGATCTGCAGTTAAAATCAGACAATGGTGGAAGACGTTAGAGTATGGAGCAAAAGGGCAGGGAAAGGAGCTCTGGGCAGCAGAAAAGCGTTTATACGAAGAACAGCGAGGAGCAGTGGAAGTGGAGCAACAAGTCTAGTAAGAGAGGCACTGCGTGGGGCGTGCGTCTGTAAAGCATGGCGATTGGACAAAGCAAAGAAATTGTGTTACTGAGCAACAAGATGTTGTGCAAGTTGGGTAGCAAAGCGACTAGGACTGGGGCGTCTAGTGAGCGGCGGCTAGGAGGCAGGGAGGGCTAAGTAGCGGCGAGAATGTGAATAACGAAGCAGCAGAGAAAGTAGTGGAGGCTGAGTAGGAAGCGATTGGACAATACCGAGCAATTTCATAAAAGGAGGGGCAGGGAAGTCGGTGACGGAGGAACGAGGTCGCAGGGCGATCAGTAATGGCACACGGATGAACAACTGGGCAGCTTGAGTAGGGGGTGCCGGGCAGTGGGGAAAGCAAGTCAGCGGAGAGAAGTTGATTAGTGGGGCAGCAAGTCAGGCAATGGAGGCTGGGCGGAGGAGTAACAGTAGTACGCAGAACCGGAGGGAGAAGTATTGCGGAGCAGAAGATCAGGTAGAGGAGGAGGGAAACGAAGCGTATGAGAAACGGGGTGGTTGTACATTGTGGAGAAACTGTGTTTCAGGGTAAGGCAGAGCAACACGATGTTATGAGAGGCGGGGTAGAAGAGAGACTGAGCGTGGAACAAAGGGGAGACGAGGCAGCTGGAAAACAATTTTATGGTGGAGCAGCAAGGCGGGCTCTGTAAAGGGACGTCTTCGCATCAGGGCTTTTGGACAATTATACAATTGGTACGAGTAAATGAAGAGTATTGTGGTGGGGTGCCTGGCAATGGAGGATGTCCATAGTGGAAGCAAGGGCGGGAAGCAAAGAAGGAGAGGAATACAGGGTAACTGAGAGAATAATGAATCAGATCATGTAAGTGAAGCGGAACACGTGGGTTCAGGGAGCTTTAAAATGGAGAGACAGTGTGATTAGGAAAACCAAGGCAACGGGATGACGTGCGCGAATGACGCGGCTGAAGTTAAGAGGGCGATCGCGTGGGAGAGAGCGGAACTACGAAGGGTATCGAGGAAGCAATGCAAGGGGCAGAAGTTAGTACAGCAACAGACCAGGTAGAAGCTTAAAAGCAGGGCGTCATAGGACCAGTGATGATGCGCATTGAGAAGAAACAGAGTCACTAGGAAAGGAAGAGCAACACAACAATATGAGCGGCGGCGGAGTAACACGAGACATACAGAGAGAAAGAGAGAGAACGAGAGAGACAGAGACAGCGAGAGACAGAGATAGCGCAGGAGAGAAACAGAGACAGCGCAAGAGAGAAACAGAGATACAACGAGAGAGAGAGAAACAGAGAGACAACGCGAGAGAGAGAAACAGAGAGACAGCGAGAGAGAGAGGCAGAGAGGCAGAGAGTCAGAGACAGAGAGTCAGAGGCAGAGACAGAGAGTCAGAGAGAGACAGAGAGAGAGAGAGGAAGAGGAGAGAGAGAGAGGACCGGAATTGGGCGTTGTAAACATTGGCAGCCTGAGCAGGCAGCGTGGAGCAGGACAGTGGCAGGGGAAGGCGGAGGGAAGTTAGTGAAGCCCCGTTATCAGGGCGCACATCACATAAGGTATCTGGGGATTCGGGGCGGTTTTTTGAAACAAATGCGGAGAAACTGTAATTGGTTGGATACCAAGCAGCGAAATAGGAGGTTGGGACGCGGCGCGCCGGCGAGATGGCAGGTGTGATTGGGGACGGGCGCTGGGCGGGTGGCAGCTCCGCTAGGGGCGGACGCAGCGGGCGGCGGAGAGAGATCGTGGCAGGGGCGGGGAGTGGATGGGATGGAGCGGAGGGGGGAGGAGTGTTGTGAGGTGGGAGGGGGCAGGGCAGGCGTAGGGTCAGGGGCAGGGGCAGCTAGCAGGGTGTTCAAAGGGTTAGAGCGGGGGAATAGAAGGGGAGCGGGACGGAAGGTAAAGTGAGCGGGTGGTCAGGGTTTGGGAAGGCCGGGAGGAGCAGATTCGAGTAGCTGAGCGCGGGGGCAGCGGCGGGGATCAGGCCGTGGCAAGCCGGAGGACCAGGAGGAGAGGGGTTGCGACCAAAGGTGGGTAGGCGGCGGCAGGGGAGGTAGCGCGAGGGGGTGTTGAGCGGGACGGGCAGAATGGTAGTGTGGGGAGGAGAGGGGCGCGGCTGGGGGTAGAGCGGGACGGCAGTGTACATCAGGGAGCGGTCAAGGGAGCGGGGCTTGAGGGTACGTAGCGGGTGGCAGGGCGGGCTGTGAGTTGGACATGTATAGATGGGGAGGGGAGAGGCGAGGCGTAGAAATGGCGAAGAGGGTGAAGAGCGGACGCGGGGCGGGAAGAGCGGGGAGAGCGAGAAGACGGGGTCGGGGCGGGGTGGAGGGGCAGACGTTTAGAAAATCGGCAGGGGATAGAGCGGGGCGGGCGGGGCGGCGGGGGGGGCGGGGACGGGGCGGGACGGGGCGGGGCGGAGGGTAAAGGGGGGCGGGGCGGCGTGCAGAGGTCGGAGGAGGGCAGCGCCCCGAGGGCCACCCGAGCAGAGGGCGAGCGCGGCGGTTCAAAGGCGCCCCACCCAGGATCAACATTTGCCGGGAGAAATATTTATACGGGCGCCACTGTGTGTGCCCCCGCCCGACCTGTTTATGTCGTAAATTATCCGCGACTAAGGACGAAGGGGTAGCGCGGTCCGCCGCGCCGGTCACCGCCCTCGCGCCACGCCCCTTGTCGAACGCGACGCGCGGTTTCATACAAGAAAAAAGAACAAAAAAAACTAAACGGTATTTCCCTCGCAGGTATACTTTCGTAAGTGAGGATTCTTTCCTAGCGGATTCTAGCGCTGTCGTGCTTGTGAAAGGGGGATATAGTTATACACGGTTATATAACGCGTTATTTCTTTTCTCGCCATTGTTTTTAAAGTGAAACTTCTTTGTGCTCTCTTGCGAGAAAAATCTTCCGCAGAACTTTGTTCGATAGAACTGACGCTGCCAAGAAACCAGAGGAAACTCAAGAATCCTGGATCTCTGTAGTTCTCCGGCCAAAGCATGATATATCGCTTGAATGGCAGTTCCATTTAGATGTTGGAATTATTTGTTCTTTTGTTTACAAATGTAACTGCACAAGATCTCTTGCTCTAATTGACGACAACAATTCTTAATAACTTGTATTAATGAAAAATTTAAGTATATTTTAAATATCATGTTATGGATTAAAAACTTTAAAGAAATAATTAATTTTGATTTTGTGATCGATATCTAAGAGACATCTAAAATATTTTAAAATATTGTACATTTTACTTTACCCTGGTTCCATGTTCCAATATCGGTAAACTCAATCATCAATTTCTGGCTTATTTTCTCTGAACGTTTTGAATAGAATTGAATAAAATAGAAATTGTTGGGAGTGACCGTTGAGGTGACAACGAGAATTGCAATAAAAAATATTTTCACCATTTCTCGTCATTGCTTATAATGTGATAAACTGTCATGTAGAGAGATTCCATGTAAGGATTTGATTTCGAAGTTATAATTGCGAGAAAAATTCTGTAAAAATCGTTTATTGACCTGTATCATAACTGAATTCAAATAAAACGACAGTAGTTGTCAGAAATCATATGATAGAATATTGCAATAATTTCAAGAGTAACTTGAGTACTCAAGCTTCCTTATAAATATTTAGTTTTTTAGATTACACGTTTACATCTACTATTCTAATAAATACGAATTAAAAATTAATAGAACCAACCATTTTAAACTAAAAGCTTTCGCGCTAGAAGTTCACGTGAAATCACCAAGGAATTATGTTTCCTGATAAGAACACAATAGAACAATTGACACCTACACACCATACGGTGTGTCCCGAACAGTTCAGATTAAATTAACTAAACGCTTTTTGTGAAAATGAATTTCTCTTTGTCGGATCCAGCAAGTTAAAGAATCAATCAATAAAGGTTTGTAATATGTCATTCGTTGGTAGTAAAGGTTTACTGTGAACACTGGTTAAAAGATATACAGTTCAATTTCAATTTAAACAAATTAAATTATAATTTTAATAAATATTTTCCTAACCGTTTCCACAATTTAACATTGAAAAATTCTATTTTTTCGTTGAAATTTAATATCTGGTCATTTGGTTTTCAAGACCCTTTTTCTAAATAGAGAAATATTTTTAATTTGCATCTCTTACTCTTGCGGTCATATGAAGTTTCATGAGTGATCAAATATGTATGAGATATTATTCTCTCAAAATACTGTTCTGATATCGGGTAATTACGCAACAGATTAATGTTTAATTTAAAACTCCTTTCCAAGTATTTGACGAACATATACACAAAATTAATTCGTAACCTAAATAAAAGATTAATAACTGCTGTATATGCATAAATTGAATCCTGAACCTGTTTGTCAAATAATGACGAAGTTTTATAATAATTAAGACTGATGGACATCAAAGATAAGCAAGTTATTTTGTACTTGTTTGTTATCAATGTGCTATTAGGCGAATTGTCCTGCCACGCATTTACACAAAATATTTTGGTCGTTAGTACTAAGTCATTTTTCACTTATAATTTTAATACAAAATTTTCTGCATTCTAATACTTACCACCTTGTCGCCCAGATCGATAATGTTGCACGGCAGGATGACTGTTTGACCAACGAGTGCCTGGATGTCTGTGGGCGTTTCTTCGAACTGCGGTTGCAAGTCCTCTTGATCTGGGTTCAAGTAACGACTGGGTTTTCCGTACGTGTGTGCTGCAACAAACAAAGCACGTCAGCATTTAGTTTTCGAAGTAATTTTGGAAAGAAAAATGGATACTCTTCAGTACATGTTGAATCATCAATAAAGGCTTTTCATATTTGCGATCTTCGATCTACGTTTTGAAGGTGAATCATTCAACTTTATTAATGACTTTTCAAAGTAATTTCCAGGTATTAATTATTCTTCCCGTTCAAAAATTCAAAACAATAGATCTTCCTGAAGTCTTGTATGTAGAGCACAAAGGAGAACAGTTGCTTCTAACATATATGTAAATGATAGTTTGAACATACACAAATGCATAGCTTGATAAAAATGTAATGGTCACCAGAACATTTAAAATCTATAAGTAATTCACCCCTTAATAGTTACGTATGGATGAATTTCACCAAATAATATGTATAGCAGGTAAGAGAAGACATATTTTTCATTTTATTCACAATATCAATGGATACATATATGTGTTAGAGTTGCCTTGTTTATCTCTGATGGTGGAGAATGTAAATTAACGAAATATCAGTTTTAGGATGAATAACTGCGACGTCATGATTGATCATCAGAACACACCTACACAATGACTTCGAAATTCTCTTCTAAGAACGGTAGGCACACATACCTTACAAAGACCTCTTCACTTATCACAGCCCATTTCCCAGTTTTGCCACGTGTTAATGTACTAAATTAGCGTCCGGGGTGCAGTGCCTCGTCTAGGTGCACTCCCCTGCAAGTAATTGGGCGGGCGACCATGATTGCCACTTCCCTTTGCGCGACGGCGCGACAGCAGCAGGAGGCCCTGTGATCTGAGGAGCGCGACTAGGCCTCTGCGCCCTCTCGAGGCTGCTTCGCCCCCTCCGCCGCCTCTTCCGCTTCTCGCTACCTCACTCTAGCCCCTCTCGCCCTCGCCTCCACGCCCCGCCCCTCACCTCACCTCCGCCCCTTACCTTACCTCACCTCACCTCCGCCCCTTTCCTTACCTCACCTCACCTCACCTCCGCCCTTTACCTCACCTCACCTCACCTGACCTCCGTCCTTTACCTCACCTCGCCTGACCTCCGCCCTTTACCGCACCTCACCTCCGCCCTTTACCTCACCTCACCTCACTCGCGCTTTTAACATCAACCTCACTCGCCTCCGCTTTTACCTCAGCTCAACTCCGCTTCCTCACTTCACACACCCCTCCCCTCTACCGGCTTTACTTCCACACTCACCTCCTTACACACTGCACACACACTCACTTCCACACCACTCCCATCATCATCTCTGCGTATCCACACGCCGCCAAAGTCTGTTTACCCCGCCCGTAACCCCGATATCCGCAGTGCCCACACCTTTGGGCCATATTGAAGGCTGCTGGCTTTCTGGCCTGCGCCAACCCTCCGCCACTCTGGCCTCACCCTCCGCGCCATACCTCACCTCCAACACAGTTATCTTCAGTCGCACCCGCACGCCATCTTTCCCCGCTTCCGCCCCCGCCTTCGACCCTTCCTCCTCCTACCCAGTCCGTCTCCGCCGCCACGCCATCTCCGTAGCCGACTCCTCTCCCCGCACATCAAACCGCCACAATCCGCACTTCGCAACCGGCCCCGTCCAACGCGTGCACGTGCTGTTAGGCGCCGGGAATAGCTTTATGCGCTCGAAGCAGTCCGCTCACGCGCCGCGCCGCCGCGCCGCTGGGAACGGACGAGGGGCGGGGTATTTTCCACCATCGCCATGCTCCGACCCGACTTCCCGACCAGGATATCTAGCCCAACCCACGTCGCCGGCACGTCCACGCCGCAAGATTAACCCATACATGTCACATATCCCATTGACAACTCCCCCCCCCGCCATGCAGTAAAAACACAACACCGAAACTAGCGTTTGCTCACATCCCTTCACCCTCTAACCGATCGACGGCCAGCTTCTCGTCCGGCTTGGAAGGCGCCGGTGCTTTCCGTTGGGTTCTCGTAGGAAAGTGCTGGCAGGGAATTGAAATTCCCACGAGTTCCCAGTTTCCCAGTACTTAATACTAGTCATCCAGAAGTGTTTAGCAGAAAGATGTAACGCTAATTTTTATCTGCGACTCCGAGCACCGCTCTTTGGAGTAGAAATATTTTATTAATTATTATTTATTATTATTATTTTATTATTATTATTATTATTATTATTATTTATATACTACTTATACTATTATTATACTATTATTGGGTACTATTATTATTTTATTATTATTACTATTATGATCTATCTATCATTCTCATACTATTATTTCTATTTAACATAATAAATGTGGCTACAGTGAGAAGACATGTTGACTCCTCACTGACCCCCTCTCCCCTGGTGACACAACCCAGGTGGTCCTCACTTGAACTCGGGTATCACAGGGGCGGAGGCCGAGGTTCACGAGCACTGAGGAGGGATTTGGTAGCGAGGCAGTGAGTAGCGTATGCCAACAACCCGTACCAACGTGGAAAGCTGGCAAGCATCGCCATGACGAGGCAGCCCCATCCATGCCTACGGGCATCATACGTGCCTACGGGCGGTGCTTAACGTCAGTGCCATGAGGTGAGTCCTGGCTTTCTACATCTAATACAGGGGAAGAGCGCGGCGCTACGCTTGTCAAATATAATATGTCCGAAATGGGTTCACGAGTCACGTCGGCGGAATCAATTGAGGGACTGTAGATACTGCACAGTGACTACAACTGGAGGAAAGTCTCATCCGGGAAGAGGGCTGTAAGCACCGCAAACAGGTTCAATAGCCCAAAATTAGCGTAATTACTAACCTGCGGATTTATAGGCACGAAAACCATCGAAATAGGAAGGCAAAACAGGCATTCAAAAACGTAAAATAGGTATTTTAATTGGAACCATACATTTTTATTTTCCTTATTTACGTACTTGTTTAGAAAGTTTCTGAAGGTAACATAGTGTAGTTATATTCATGGAATGTAATTATATTCATGGAATGTAGTTATATTTATGGAATGTATTCATGGAATTCATGGAATGTTAGCTTTCACAAAAAATCCGGACCAAAAAGGCTGAATCGCAGAAGCTACCTTTTAGCTTTTCATTAATGCAAGCTGATACTTAAATGCTGCACACATGATCTTTTTTCTCACCTTTAATTTCAACATAATTGAAAACATAGTATGGTTTTTTCAATACCCTTGTATAACACAAATTTACTAGCAAAATAGGCATTTATTGGTACTATAAAATTCGCATATAATGCTCTTAATAACTCAAAATGAATAAGTAACACAGAATACTGCGTTTTCCATTGAAGGCAAGAAATAGGCAAATAGGCAAAAATACGCAGCTTAGTAATTACTTACGTCGTTCATATCGCACTCGCTGCTAAAACCAACAACCCTCTTGACACCCTCACCCCACACGCCGCCCTCATTGGTCACATCGTTCCCTATAATAAGCGAACTCTCCCGAATGTTGAAACCACCCACATAGAGGCCGCCTTACAAGGTAGTAAACATATGGAAGCTAGGGAGTTCCTTAATAATATTGTAATATTTTATTTAAAATTACTACTAAATACTCAAATCAATTTGAAAATACACTGAATATTAGCGATGTTAAAGATTGTTATTAAAATATTTCATATATAACGAAAATGGTAATTTTGTTAAATTATTGCTAATGCGCGGTGTACCAAAACCTTTCCTCCTGTCAATGCCAGTAGTTATTACTCAACAACTACTCATATTTAAGTGCATGTCCTATTTAAAGATCTAAAATTGAGGGTTATACTGCACTGAGAAAGAAAAACCTTAATATTGGAGGAGTAGGACGAGTTCGAAAATAAATGTAAAAAACTCCACAATTTTCAAAATGTTACAGATTTCAATGGTTATCGGAACTATACCATTTTTATAAATAATTTTCTTCTTTTCCATAAAATAATAAAGAAAAAAATTGCAGTCATTTTCCAGAAAATGTTCATACTTACATCCCGATTTTCGACTACGAAATTGCGTGTATCTCATCGCCCCTGCCTTAACCATCTTTGGAACAGCACAAATAAACCTCAAACCAGACGTGTGTGAGAAGTTACGGCTTAAACACGGTTTTACGACTGACAATACGAGATCGCACTGTTGTGGAGATCCACACGCGTTTCCTCCCTGTATTATAGTATACAGGGGAAAAGTACGAAATTCACTGAGAGCCGCTATCCAGCAGGGGTTTCGAGCACGAGCACAGACTGCCTACGTATGGGACCCTTTCCTGCACTCACATCTAATGCACACCCTAGAATCCGATCTCGCTTCCTCTTGTCTTTTACACGGGGCCGTCGACAGTAACAATACCCACGTAACCCGCATTGCGTTTGCCGCCCTCATCACATTACGTGGATGACTATACTACATGCGTTTAATCCACACTACCCACATTTTCATCACCCGTCCCTATAGCTTCACCCTCAGTCACACCGCCCACACTCCTCCTACCACCTCATACTCTCCGTCCACAAAGACTGCAACACCGACCGCCCACACCGCCTACATCACACACAATTATTTATTTGCATTATCGTTTCACTCCCTCAGCATTACGATTGCGTCTGAGATAAATTCAAGTTTCATTCTTTGCAATGTTTATTTGTGGGACGTTTCAATTAAACCAGAAGAAATATGATATTCAATTTTCTAATAGCATTGCACGGTTCATTTTTGAAATCACCAGAATCTTAAGTGTCTAACGGGAGTAGGAGGAATTCTATTCATTTGAGAAACGTAGATCTAGGGAAAGCCACTTGAGGGTGATATTAATTTGATTCGTTGTAATAAAAGTAAACACTGTAAATAAAAATAAAGATAAAAAGGTAAGTACTTTGTGGTTGACAACACTCATCTAGAATTCTTCAATATATCTTGATAGTCTTGTTAGATACATTTTTCGCTTAAAAATATGCTAGTATTAAAGACAATAACGGAATTACCAAACATTTATATAAATCCATTCGGTAAAATGAAATTGATGAAAAATCAATTACA